GCGCCCTAGAGCAAACCCCCCCCAAAAAAAAAAAAAAAAAGAACACAGGCTCTGGCTTGAGGAGTCCTGCCTACCAGTGACTCATTGTGCCACCCTCACGAGCTTGAGGACTGGTGGCATTGTGACATGGCTCAGGTGGAGACACTGAGCTCCAGCCAAGGGATTGGCCCAAGGTCACCTGTAATGAGGGGCAGGGCCAGAATCGGAACTGAGGTCCGACCCCAGCACTCAGCACCCAGGGAGTCCTCACATCTGGGTCTGTCCCAGCTCTGCCGCCTGCCACCAGGTGGGCTTGGGACACCAAGCTGGCTTTTCTGAGCCTCCCTCACCCTCCCAGGAACATACCTCTCACAAGCTGACCTAGGTAGAGATTGAGAGTAGGGTCATGGTCATGACATTGGACCTCACGGAGGGCAGCGCCTTGGCCACACCCTCCCCTGGTGCCACCCAGCTCCCACTCACCAAGTGACCTGAGCAGTATGTGACCCTGGCTGCTGTTCCAGGGGGCAGCAGGGCGCGGCCTCCCGTGAAGCAGTGGTCTGGGGGCCCTGCCAGCAGCCGGAGGGAGGCGTTCACCACACGCTCACGGGTGAAGGAGGGCATGAGGATGCCCCACTCGGGCCGGAAGGAGAAGATGAAGAGCTCTCCCAGGGCACTCAGAGAACAGCGTGTGGCCCTGCAGGGCAGCCCCCCAAGCCTGTCCTCACAGACGCAGGTGAGTGGGACCACGTCAAACCAAGGCACTGCAGGAGACAGAAGGGCCAAGCGGAGTGAGGTAAGCTCCCGCTCAGGGGAGGGAGCCTGCGATTGCTCTCTATGGTGAAAGTCAGAGGGAAGGGCCCTGACCTGGAAGCCAGGGCCTGGGTGCAAATCTAGCTCTTCCCAGCTCAAGAGGTGGTAGCTGGCAGGTCGCCTCTCCTCTCTGGGTCTGGCCTGGGGCTGGGCCAGTGTTTGGCAAACTAGCCTGGCCGGGAGTTTCCCCAGAGCTGGAAGCACCCGGGGCAGGCCATCCTTGGATGCACGGGTTTCCACTACGGGCTCCAGCGTCAGCCCACCCTGCAGGGCCCAGGCCAGCGTGCATCCAGCCCAGACCATGGGAAGAGGTCACAAGTGGGACAGCCCTGGACCTTTCCTCTGACCACTAGCCCACCTGCCTCTGACTCCTGCCAACCGAGGGCCCTGCCCAGAAAGGGGGCTGGCACCCACAGAAGCCCATAGGCACAGGCCTGCAAGTGATAGCAAAGGGTCATGTCCCAAGGAAATCCACAGCCTTGGGGGACCTTCACCCAGCTGCTATCTTGTTTCCCACAGGAAGAATAAACATTGACATCCATGGCCGGAAAATGAGAGACTTCCGGAAATCAGCCAGCCCATGGGAGCCCAGGGGGCCGAGGGTCAGCCAGCTGGTGACACTCCCTGAGATAGTTAAGGCCTCCAGGACACCCAGATCAAATTTGTCAACTTGGCAGGGAGTAAGCAGGCTAATTAGCGGGGCTGAGGGTGCTTCTTTGAGCTCTTCCTACCAGATTCACCAGAAATTCCAGACCACTGAGTCAGGGGCAGAAGGCCCCACAGGGGCTGAAACTCCCCTGCTGGGGAGACACCAGGACGAGTACCTTTCAGGGAGGCAGCAGGGCCAAAGTAGGAGAGCACGTCCTCCGGCTGCAGAGCCTGAAGGAAGCTCTGCAAGACATAGAGACGGATGGGGAAGGAGGAGGGCAGGGCGCCCGAGGGTGCGGGAAACAGATGATGAGGCCAGGGAGAGAGAGAGGGCCGAGGGGCAGCACACAGGACACGTGTCCATCTGATCATCCTCGCCTACTAGTACCTCTTTAGGCCCCAAACCCCAAGTCCACCCAAGGCAATCCCAAGTTGAAGCAGTAGGCTGAAGAACACGCCTACCCTGCCGGGCAGTTTCAGACCCCCCACCACAGGTGGCCGCCTTCGGCACCCAGACCATGTCAGCCCACCTGCTGGAAATTGGAGAGTCCCCAGCAGCCCAGGAGAAAGGAGGCACAAGCCAGGATTCTACCCACGCAGGTCACATAGGTCACACACGGGGTGCGGCATCGCACCCAGCTTCGGTGGGGAAGCGCGCCCATCCTCAGGAGAGCCAGCAGAGGACTGGGAGTTGGCCAGTGGACCGAGTGGAATGTGGCAGCCCCTCTTGCTGGCTGGCCGGGCTGGCTGGGCGGGTCAGTAGGGGAGTTTGCTGGGAGCTTCCTCCCAGGGCGGGGGTGGGGGGTAGGGGCAGCAGTTCCAGCTCCTCCTGCAACCATCTGGGTCTCCAGAGCAACCAGACCTGGTCCTGCACCCCCAGAGCCCTCCAGCTGCTCACACTGGGGGCAGGGCCAGGAGAAAGAGGAAGCCTGCAGGGAGCCTGGAGAAAGGGCCTCCTTTGTCCCAGTCCTCATACTTGCACTCCTGCCCCCCACTCCCCACTACCACCACCACCCCCCACCCCCGTCCTCCTTGGGCTCCAGACCCAAGGCAGATTCTGTGCTCCCTTTTTAGCATGGCCCCTGCCCCATAGCCTTGTGATTAGGGAGCTGAAGTCCACATGGCCAGCCGTGCAGTTCCAATCCCAGTCCCAGTGTTTTGAACAAACTCCCGAGGCACATGTTCATGCGTGTATGCCCCAAATCCCGACAGGGGAGGACAGAAGGGAATGCAGTGAGCATGCCCCGGGGGAGCTTTCTTCCTCTGCCTTCCTCTCTCTGGCAAACACACAGGTCCTCGGGGATGTGGGATCAGACCTAGCTGTTAGATGTCTCCCCTAGGCGACTGAGGGGCCACTCGAACTTCACAGGAATGAAAAGGAACTCACGTCCCACTCCCGCACCTCACCACCTGCTGCCCCAGCCAATTACTGACGTTCTAAATGGCCACACTGAGTTGCTCAAACGAAAATCCTAGGAGCCAGCCTTGCCTCTGCCTTGCATCCCCGTCACCACACCCGTGACACACTCTCTCTCTTCACAGCCGCACAGGCATTGGCCTTGGCCGTGCCGCTCAGGTCTCCCTTGCACGAACAGCTTGCCATGTGGCCAGGAGGGCTCCGCAGTTGCCGCTTGTAGCCACAGCATCTGAGGGTCTGCTGCGGCATCCAGGCCACAGCCATGCTCTTCCCTGGCAGCCACCGGCCAAGCCCAGACATAGGGGGCCGAGAAACTCCTGGGCTCCAGACACTTCCTCCCAACAGCTCTTTGTAACGGCTCATCTCTGCCCTCGAGCTCCCCGCTGCATCAGCCAGAACCCAGCCGGGTGAGCAAAACGTGGAGGCTCTGCCTGCCCAGTCGGCCTCCCCACTTCTCCCTCCCAGCAGTAAGAGCGGTGTCATGGCCAAACGCTCTCCCTGACCGACGGCTTCTTCCCCTTTATCTTTCTTTCTTGCTTGCTTGCTTTGTTGTTAAGTTTATTGTCTTCATCTGGAATCAAGTCACAGACAATGGTTTGGTTTAGCTCTCAGCTGCCCGCTCCTGAGCTCTGAGGAAGCTTGCCTTTGGGCTACCTGACCTTCTGGGCAAGGGACGTCTTGGGACGATTCCCGCTCCTCCTCAACTTCTCTCTTGGGCTTCTGTTCGTGGACTGGGCTCTTCAGCAGCGTGAGCGTCCTCGTGCACCTCCTCCGTCCTGTCTGGAGTTGCACCGTCCCTGTCCCGAGAGGACTGTTTCCTGCAAGCGTCTTTGTCCCCTTCCATTAGGTGACGCGTGGAGTCTGCCCATCATGTGCTCCGATGGACTCTGCATTCAATTCCTCGCTTTCAGAATCGACCGGGGAACCGTGACGGCCTGTGAGGGACAGATAAGCCTCCATCCACGGTTCCCTTCAGGGCCCAAAGCTTCATTGCCAGTGGTGGTTCTGGCAAGGCCTGTATCCAGACAGCAAGTGAAGGCACCAGGTTGACCATCGATGCTTTCTCCATTGTACTCGTCTCCGGTCACTTCCATTTGGCCTTCATAGATCTCGTCCATGGCAGACCTACTGAGAAGCCCGTGGGCCTGCAGCAGGCCAGTACAGCACACTGCAGTCACATGTGCTAGGCCAGCCTTCACACCATGCTTTGGTAGTGGGTGTGCATAAGCTGTGCACGGGCATAAGCAGTCTGGCAAATGCTCTGTTACAGGAGCTGTCATCCTGTGTGTGGGTGTTGTACTTACTTTTATCCTGGATCACCAAGCGTTACCGAGCATAGTCATCACTTTTACCTGCTTGTTGTCTTCTAGATGTCACTTGGTATCTCTTAAAGTAGGCCTTATTCTTGACAACTTTAACAAATCCCATCCTGTGGAATAGAGACCCGCAGCCCCGCCCAACCTGCAGGCCCACAGCACTACAGGGGGAAAACGCTCCCCTTAATCTTCCACACTAAATATTTCGTACTCCCAATACTATCTGTGTGGAGCTTCCTGGAGCCCCGGACTGACACGTTACCCTAAGCTGAGCTGCCTCACGGCCTCACCGGCAGCTGTCTTCCAGCTAGCTGGTCTCCGGCTTCCTCCCACGCGGTCGCTCAGAAAAGCAATACCCACTGAGAAGGTCATTTCTCTAGAGGCTCCTTTCAACCATTTGCAAGACTCCTCAAAGCAGACGTCTGTGCCCCCACCAAATTGCCCTTCTTAGCCATAGAAAAACTTGGTGGTGGGACCAGCAAATGGTGTTAATGGTTTCATCACTGGACTCCCACGTGGCCGACTGCAGTTCAAGTCCCAGACCCAGGGCTTAGGGCTCACCCTGGGTGCACGTGCGTGTGTGCCCAAAATCCCAAAAGGAGAATGGAGGAGAAGGGATTGCAGGGTGGCCATCCCTCCGGGTGTGATGACATCTCACTTTCTGTCTCTCTGGCGAGTACACACTCCCTATAGCAAAAATCTCTCTCTTAAAAAAAAAATGAAAGAGAGAGAGATAGAGAGAGAGAGAATGAACAAACATGGCGGCTCCTGTGGCCTAGTTCAGGACTCACGAGCCATCAGGGACATGACTCTCCCGTTGCTCCCACTGTGCCCAACCCACGCTCCTCCCTCTCCTCTATTCCCCCAGACACCACCCACTTTGCAGTTCTTGGCGTCAAAGATGCCTTCTTCACAATTCCTTTAGAAAAACGATCGTAAAATCCCTTTGCCTTCACATGGTTGGATCCTAATACTGGAAGGGCCACCCAATTAACATGCAAGTTCTCCTCCAGGGCCTTTGGGACTCTCCCCACTTCTCTGGCCAAGCCCTTGCCTCAGATCTCTCCCAACCATTTCTTCCCCCCAGTGCCCTATACAGCTGTGTAGACAACCTGCTTTTCTGCAGCCCTTCTGTAAGGTTTTCTCAACCACACTCTATTAGGCTCCGAAATTTCTTGGCAGAAAGGGAATATCGAGTATCCCCTAAAAAGGGCCCATTCTTTACCTCTGAGGTAACCTATCTGGGCATTCACCTCACCTCCTCCCACGGAGGAACAACAGATAAACATAAGCAACTAATGGCTTCCCTATCACTTCCAACATCCAAATATGAATTACTTTCCTTCTTAGGTTTAGTGACCTCCCACCAGCTGTGGATCCCAAACTTCGGTGTCCTCTCTAGTGAGTTCACCATCCCACCCCGAAGGCCTTAGATTGGCTTAAAGGCCCTTTTCTCTGCCCCTTCCCTAGCATTACCTAGCCCGTCTAAACCACTTCATCTCTTCACTGGGTCGTGCACGGGGATTATCGGCCCGATGTTACACCTATAGGACCGTGCGGCCTTTCTCTCTAAACCCCTGGACCAGGCAGTCCTGGAGTGGCCAGCTTATCTCAAAGCTCTCGCAGCCACCACGCCACTCACTCAAGAAACTACTAAACTCACACCCTTCTCTCACCTCTGTCTAGTCCTCTCCCTCTTTTCAACCCTTACTCTCCCACTGAGCTGCTTCCACTATTTCTACAACCAGACTGCAACTGATACACGGACACCTCTTAGAAGATCCTGCTGTGACCGCTCACCACTGCAATTCTATCAGTCTGCCACTTTACTAGCCCTCCCAAATAACCACACATCCCAAAATGCAGAGCCACGCGACTGCCCAGAAATGACAGGTCACTTCCTTATTTCCCCGTATTCTAGACATGCCTCTAGCGTCCCCTCCCACAGCCTGGCGTACTGATGGCAGTGCTTCACAGGGCCCTCAGCCACAAGCAGGCCACGCTACAGCCCTCTAAGGTCACGTACACCAGGTACGCCCAACTCATAGCTCTGAGGCGAGTTAACAGACTGGCAAAAGGAAACCAAGTTAGCATTTACGCTAACTCCAAATATGTCCTCCCTATCATTCATTCAAGTGCCTCCCTGGAAAGAAAGGGCATTTCTCACCGCGTGAGGAACCCCAAGTACTAATTATAAGCTCATTTTGAAGTTATTAATACAGGTCTTCTCCCACACAAGCTGCCGTTCTTACTGTAAAGGTCGTCGAAGCACCAATGCCCACACAGCCAATGGCGGTCTTCAAGCCGACGTTGAGGCCAAGTTACAGGCTGCAAAAATCCACACTCAAGCTCTTGCCAGACAGAGCCCTCCTCACGGAGACCCAGAGGCCCAGCATTTGATTAGGGCAGGAGCTAGCCAGGCTAAGGGTTGGTTCATGGCAGACAGAGGGGTTATTTTACCTAAAGAGCATCAACACACCTTCTACCCCATTGCACAACCAGTATCCCGTGGAGTCTAAAACGCTATAGTCTTCTCACCTAGCGTACTCGCCCTTCCCTCCCAAGGGCCTCATGCACACCACTGAACATTGCCCCAGCCGTCAGACTAACTCCCCTCATGGGCTTCTAAAAATCCCATTTCAAGCTTACCAAATGCACAGCTATTTCCCCAGCAGGTAGACTTCACTCACAGGCCCACTGTAAAAATGCAGGTATCTCCTAGTTTTTATAGACGGCTTTTTCGGATGGGTCGAGGCTTTCCCGGTGACCACAGAAGCTACATGCCACGTGACTGACACCTCCTCGCGAACACCACTCCACGGTTTCGCCTCCCCCACTCCTAGTAATCTAACAGTGGACCTGCATTCACAGCCCAGACAGTCCATGAGTTGTCTCAGTCTTCGGGGGTTCATCGGAAACTACATACCCCACGCCACCCCCAATCCTCTGGCAAAGCAGAATGAGTGAATGGACTCCTTACACAACAGCTAACCAGCCGACACGGACTCACTGGGCCACACTCTCACCAATACCCTTGCTCCATGTCGAAGCCTCTCTGGGCTAGTGTATGGCTACCCACTAACGCTCACTAACACCTCCCCTTCCTATCTCCACTATTACATTACCCCCCAGTCTTCGTACAACTTCGCAAACTTTTAAAATCCAGGGCCAATCAAATTTTACTTGAACCCCTCACATCGCCAGCCCTGCAGGGTTGCCCCCGGAGATCTGGCCTATGGGAAGGCCCTTCGACCCCTCGAACTCGAAAACCTAGCTGGGAAGGGCCTTCCGTGTCTTACTCACACTGCTGCTGCTACTGCTGCTGCTGCACAGCTCCAAGGTCCCTGTCCCTGGATGCACCTCGCTGGACTAAAGCCCACACAGCCTGAGCTCAGCTCTATCCCGGAGGAGACTGGCATCTCTCCTCAGGAGGGCGGTTCCTAGCACGTCTCTCGAACCCCTCTTCAAACGAGTGGACTGATTTGTCTGGGCTGCCTCTATAGCGTCCTGGTCTAGTGCCCCACACCCAGATCTCCTCTCTCCTTTTTGATGTCATCTGTGACTTACGGCTACAGAAGAGTTGACTGGTTCTTCTCCAGATCAGATTTATTTCTGTACTTTGGCTGACTTAATTCTCAACTCTTCGCGCTAACCCACGTTGCGGTTAAGCACAAGGACAGGAGCAGGGCTACAGCTCCTCACAACTTTTCAATTCTTCCCTCTGTGGTCAGCAGGTGGCGTGGTGGTTAAGGCACTAGACCAGCACATGTCTGACCACAGTTTGAGTCCTGAGCCTGGCGGCTTGAAAATCACCCTGGACACGTGTGGATGCCCCAAATCCTGAGAGAATGGAGAAGGGATGCGGCATGCCCTCAGGGGGTGACTTCTCAGTGTCTTTCGGATGAACACACATGCCCTGTGGCAAAAACCTAAACATAAATATTAAAACGCTTTCCTCTGAGCTCCAACAAAGCTTGGATGAAACATCACAAGTCTCTTAGGGATCCAAGACCAAGTTGACTCCCCGGTTGTCCAAGTTGACTCCCTGGTTGTGGTAACCCTCCCTAACCAGAGAGGCCTGGACCTTCTCACAGCCAGAAAAGGGAGTCTCTGCCTCTTCCCAGAAGGGTGATGCTTTCACATCAACTAAGTAGGCCTTCTGAGGGATCCAGCCAAACAAAACCAGCTGACAGCGCCTCAAAAATGAGACTGGTCTGCTCAGTCCTGGGACCATGGTCACAGCACACCACAGACAGCTTGGCCCTTCCCCTGGTGGCCCGCACTGTAACTCTTCCCCTCTGAGTCTCTGCGGGACCTACATGCCTAAAGATGCTGAACCACTCCATCCAAGATACACAGAAACAGGTTAAGAACGGAGGACAGGGACCAGCAGTTAGCGTAATGGCTATGTTGCTGGACTCCCACGTAGTCGACCACAGTTTGCGTCCCAGACCCAGTGGCTTAAACTCACGCTGGGCATGTGTGCATGTGTGCCCAAGATCCCGAGAGGAGAATGGAGGAGAAGGGATTGCACCTCCCCTGGGGGGTGATTTCTCGCTTTCTGTCTAGTAAGTGCACGCACCCTATAGCAAAAACCTCTTCAAAAAAAAGAGCAGAGGACATGCTATTCACGTGTGTCCTCGAAGGGCCCACACCCCTTGCCATCCCCTTGAGGCACATTGCCCTCCTCAGCAGGCAGCAGATCCACAAGGTCTGGCTTAGAGCAGCTCCAAAAGGTCTGGCTTCGACCCATACCCCATCCCTAGCAGCCAACCACCCCTTTTCACGTTTTATTATATGTAGATAAATATAAGGTATATCATGAGAGTGTTCTATATGTTACATGTAAACGTGTGTTTTATATCTAGTCTTTACATATACGACACCATATATTTATATAGAAAGTGTGTATTTATATTACATACGTAAAGGCTAGAAACGTTGGTCACATTCAGGAAAGCTCCTGTGAGCATCGCCTGGCGGCGCTCCAGACCTGACAAGAAACCTGGGCCGGACCTTTGCAGACCTGACCTCGGCAGGGGCCCACATTCCGGACTGCTACTGACAGTCACACTGATCCAGAGACCAGCGTGCAGTGACACAGGAGTACTGGGCTAACTCCCCTGAGAGAGAAGGGGACAGCACGAAATGCTTCGTGTGCTCAGAACGTGCTGACCCTGCTGCGCCCGACTCCCGCGTGTCAGTCATGCACACGGTCCCAACTCCCCGCGTGTCAGTCATGCACACGGTCTCGCAGGGTAGCTTCCTCAGTCGCCCTGCAGTGGTGAGCGGGCCGAACCACAGCTGGTTTCAGAACCCCAGCCTCTCTTTCTCAATAAACTTTCCTTTTTCAGATGACGCGCCGAGTCTTACTCCAAACTGTGACAGTATCTTTTGGGGTGATGAATATGTTATATGTAAAAGTGTATTTTAGATTTAATATTTATATATACTATACCATGTATTTATCATCCCTGATGAATGTGGGGTGCGTGAGAAAATAGTCAACAGGGAAAGTCTCTGGCTTATGCTTTACTGAGGTCTTTAAGATGTCAATGAACAGCAGGTGGCATAGTGGTTAAGGTGCTGGACTCCCACACAGCTTGGAAACCGACAGTCTGCATGTATGGCTAAAATCCCATGAGGAGAACAGAGGAAAAGGGACTGCGATGTGGCCATCCTCCCAGGAGGTGATTTCTCACTTTCCGTCTCTCTGACGCTGTCTCTCCTACACCGCCGACATTACGGTTCAAGTCCTGGACCTGGCAGCTTAAAAGACACACAGGAATGTGTGTATGGGTGCCCAAAATCTCCACAGGAGGATGTAGAAGAGATTGGGTATGGTCACCCACCCCCTCCCTCGGGGAGGTTTCTCTTTCC